CTAACCATCTCTCGACCTATACCAGGCCACGCACGCACACCATTTTCATTCATTTGCGTCACTAACATCGGCGACCATCGTCCACCTATCGACCCCTATCGTGCCATACACACACACACTACTCATTCTCTCCCACTGCCCCTCTTCGCCCACTACCTGCGACATGCCCTAGGTGCCCCTACTCACACCGTCTTTCCCCCACCGCCTCGAACTCTACTCACACGGCCCACATTTTTTCTCTCTTTCCCCCCCGGTCCTACTATTTCCCAAAGCTCCAGCTACCCCACTCCACTCCCTCAAGCACCTCACTCACCCCGCGGATCCTTCTCTTCCCCAGCGTTCACTCACTGCCTCTCTCTATCTCTCTCTCGGACCACATCCTCCTGCCACAACATCTTTCTATCTCCTCCCGCGTTACTCACTCCACCCATTCCCTCTCTCACAGCTCACTAACCTCACACCTCTTCCTCTCTCCTCCCCCGTTGCTCACACAACCCATTCACTCTCACACAGTTCACACACATCTTCCTCTCCTCCCTTGCGTTGCTCACACAACCCGTTCCCTCTCACACCGCTCATTAACCTCACACATCTTCCTCTCTCCTCCTGCGTTGCTCACACAACCCGCTCACTCTCACACAGTTCACACACATCTTCCTCTCATCCCTCGCATTGCTCACACAACTCGTTCCCTCTCACACCGCTCATTAACCTCACACATCTTCCTCTCTCCTCCCGCATTGCTCACACAACCCACTCCCTGTCACACAGTTCACACACATTTTCCTCTCTTATGATCTCCACTCACTCCACACTCTTATCTCTCTCTCGGCCTTCGCCCGTACCGTCACCTTCTCTCTCTCTCCTCCCGCGATTCTCACGCGGCCAACTTCCTTCCACCCGCCTTATTGCACACACTCACTCTATACGGCCTCCTCTGTACACTGCTACTTCCGAAAACCGTCACCACGCACGCCACACACCTAAACATTTCAAACTCAAATCAACACACGTATTTGAAGTTTGTTACCGTACCTCCCATTTCCATCTTCCTTCTTTCGGCCGATCGCGCTATCACCGTCTGCGGTCTCCTCTTCTCTCTGCTCCGCTTCCTTTCTCTCTCCTTCTGGAACCTTCAGTCCTCTCCTCTTTCTCTTTCCCGCTCCCCTTCTTCCTCTGTTCTTTTTTCCTTTTTTTTATTCTTTTTCTTTCCTCTTTCTTTCTTTCTCCCGCCCCCTATTTATATCACCCCATTTTTTCCTCAAAACGGTGTCGTTTTCCCCCTTGCAGAACGACGTCGTTTTTTTCTCTACAAAATGACGTCGTTTTCTCCCCTCTGCAAAACGACGTCGTTTTCCCTTCTTTAAAACGACGTCGTTTCCATCTCCTCTTTTTTTTTTCTTTTTTTTTTCCCCAGTTATTACATATATATTCCTTTTTCAAGAGGTATCAACGGTATTTTTTTTTTATTATCGATGGAAAACACTATGAATTTAATTTCACTTACAGTTACATGACTTATGCACATCTTCATGATCTTAATAACTGTATATGTGTACATATACACATATATATATATATATGCATGAACAAGATGTTCTTATCTTTTTACCAAAAAAAAAAAGTGACTTAAATAAATTTATTATACAGTACAAAACAATCTGACCATTGATGCTGAGAAACTATATTAACTTAATTCGAACTACAAATTAATCTCTAATTTTTTCATATAATTAAACCTTTTAATTTATGGATTTCTCTGTCCATTGCTAAATTCTAATATAGATATTTTTAACTTTGCATATAAATCTAATTATACGATTTTGTTGACAAGACGGGGTTTAAATGCAGATTAAAAAACCGTATAGCTTTCCTATCTGCCGTATCAAGTAGTCCAACAAAAATCCTTCCCCATATACATATATATTGTTTGATTCCTTATTATTTTTGAAGTTTATATTTTTTGTAATTTGAAAAAATATATACATCTTTTTTAAATGTACAGAGCTAAATACGGTGCCGTTTAAACTTAATTTCCTTCAACTTTTTATTGCAAGCAGTTGTGATGGTGTCGCTTCCTAACATTATAATCCTGTATTGGTATAGAACTCTCGGAGAGATTGAACGCGATGTGAAATTGAGTGGCGAAAAAACTTGGTAGTGGACTGAGAGTTGAGCTTAGCTATACTTTCTAAATTGCTTCATCCAATGAATTCATCCGCTACAAACTCTGATTAGGGTTTTGATTTCGTCTCTCAACACAGTTGATCAGCTCTTCCACCGACATTAAAGAAAAGGTTAGTACGTAATATATTCATATATGAGTGTATATATATACCCATATACATCTTAATGAATTCGATGTAAAATATGCAGATTGCCCCGTGTTGTATCTAGCATTTTCAACAATTCCTCATGTGGTCCAGGTTTCATATATGTCGATGATGTGTTATAGTTTTATGATAATTTTAATATTTTTATTACTTAAATTTATAATGAATTGGAACGAATTTTGAGTAAAAAAATTCAATTTATGAGTTAAAAATCTTGATGCAGGTGATATTGGTGAAGAAAAGAAGAAAAGAGGAAGAAGCCCATCATACTCAAGAAGTTCGGCCCAGACCCGCTGCAACCAAACCCAGCTAAGAAACAAATCAAACGGCGGCGTCGTTTGACAAATGAAGTGAAAAAAAAGCTTGGAGAAAGCTGAAGAGGAAAATGGAGGCCGGAAAAGGAAGGAGGCGTTCGAAAACCCTACCTCCTCTCCTTCTTCCGTCTACAAAAAGGGAGAGATAGAGAGAGAGAGAGGGAGGGAGAGAGAGACAAAAAGTGTAGGGAGTGAGAGAGATAGAGATCTAGAGAGAGAGAGAGAGAACAGAAATAAAATCTGTAGAGAGAGGGAGAGACGGCGAGCTGGTGACGCTGAAACCAGTGCGCGCTTGGAGGGGGCTTGAGCGTAAAGCCTCACGCGGCGAACGGCAGAGCAGAAGCAAAGTTGCGAGCTGACTGGAGAAGAAGCAGAACGCAGAAAGGAGCTGTTGGTGAAGAGCCGAAAGGACTGCCGAGCTGAAGCGGGAAAGCAAAGAGCTTGGTGGAGAGAGAAGCTGAGAAAAAGAAAATCAAGTAATATATTTTACTAGCATTTTTGTTGTAGAAATTTTTTACTAGTTAATATATGTTTTTTCTACTTGGAGATGTTTGATTCATGGAATTTTGTATACATATCAATTTCATGCATATCTAAATATCAAGACTTTGAACTAATTGAATAATTATAGGAATTTGTAGAATACAAATATATTGACAGATCCTGTAAATATGATTGATTAATTTAAGATATATGTGAAAAAATTAAAAAGAATTTAAAGTATCATATAGTGGTTTTGAAACTCTTTAATATCTATTTCATTTAACTGTTTGCTTATTTTATATGTAATATTATTTTTTTTTATTATTTTTACAGTAATAAATTTATGAAAAGAAAAATATACGCAAAATTTTGAAAGGAATTAAAACAGTATTTTAAAAAGTTTTGCATGCATGCATATGATAGTGTTGAGGTACAATATTTTTTTAAAAAAAAATTAAAAGATAAGTATTTTATTTTTTAAAACATCTAATTTAAATTAAAGATAAAAGTGATGTAAAATTAACCCAACTATTTTCATTCAAATTTTTTTATTTACATTGTATTATTAATATAGAATTAGAACTAACCCTAATAGCTAAATTAGTCATGGAAGGTGGTCTATGAACACTGATTTTCTTGTTCGACATCTCATATCTTCTTGGCTTTTGTAAATATTTGCTTCGGTCTTTCTTCCGTTATTATGTTGTATATTTTTCATTAATTTTCTTTTATATTTTTTGCAATAATAATCAGATTATTTCTTCCATCATTGTTGTTTTTCTGATACTCCTTTAATCATAATTTTCTATTGCAATATATATATATATATATGTATGGCCAATTAATATATCTAATTTAAATTTACTTAATAAAATAATTTTTTAAAAAATTAATTATTAGCATATTTAAAGGTGAATGTCACTTCACTTAACAGTTGCTGCATGTATCATAATTCTCGGAAAAAATTTATCACTTAATTACCTCTTTAACAAGATGATTATTGTGTGTGTGTGTATATATATATATATACACTTTATTTGTAATTAGATTGATTAAAATTATTGATATATTAGTTTCATATATAAATAACTTTTTATTTTTTAAAATAAATGTATATATAAACTAAATTTATATATCTTATATAACCAGGTACAGATTTTCTATATTAGAAAATCTTATATTATTATTAATCAGAAAAATATATAGAAGGAGAGAGAGAATCTCTCGTAAGATAAAGAAAAATCAAAAATATAATTATTTAATTATTTTTTAATATGTTTACACTATATTTTATATTTTTTTTAAGAGATATTAATGTTTTTTTTCTTCATTATTAATGCAAGACAGTAGGAATCTAATCTCATTAACAGTTGCGTTCCCTGTACTCGTCTTCATGATCCTAATAACTATTTTTGACTTATTTTATTTGTTTTTGTCTCTTTATATATGTGTGTGTATATATATGTATGTACAAGATATTTATATATTTTTTGAGAAAAAATTGATTTAAATAAATTTATTATACACTACAAGGTAATCCCGCCATTGATGCCAAGAAGCTATCTTCAATTTCTCTCCTCCATTCCTAAATTTTATTGTAAACCTTTTTAACTTTGTACAAAAATATAGTGAAACGATTTTATTAACAAAACGATCTATAAATATACATAAAAAAATCGTATAACTTTCCAACCTGTTCTATCAAGGAGTCCAACAAAAACCCTTTCCCATGTACATATATACTGTTTGATTCTTTATTATTCTTGAAGTCTATATTTTCTGCAGTTTGAAAAAATATATACATTTTTTTAATGTACAGAGCTAAATATGATGCCATTTAAACTTAGTTTCCTTCAACTTTTTATTGCAGGCAGTTGTGGTGGTGTCGCTTCCTACCATTATAATCCCGTATTGGTACAGAACTGTTGGAGAGATTGAACGCGATGTGAAATTGAGTGGCGAAAAACTTGGTAGTGGACTCAAAGTTGAGCTTGAGTACACTTCTAAATTGCTTCATCCAGTGAATTCATCCGCTACAAACTTGGTTAGGTTTTTGACTTCATCTCTCAACGCAGATGACCAACTCTCTTTCACTGACATTAATGAAAAGGTTAGTACGTAATATTTTCATATATACGTATATACATATACCAATATACATCTTAATGAATTTGATGTAAAATATACAGATTGCCCCCGTGTTGTATCTGGCATTTTCAACAATTCCTTATGTAGTCCAGGTTTCATATATTGGATTAGACGGCTTCTTCTTCTCTTACTATACAAATGTCAACAATGAAACTCTCGCCATGTACTGCAACACTTCTTTTCCTTCCAATTCTAGTTCAGAGATAGGGAAGAAAAACTACACTTGGTACACCCAACCAGTAGATTTAAGCACTGGAAATCTATATGGTGAAGCCAGAAGACACCTTCCCCTGAGAATAGTCAACACAGACTGGTTTGAAAAGGTGTTGAGCAGTGGATCCGTAGGATATGTCTCCTTAGGTATCGCACGGAAAGAATCAAAAGACCTTTTAATTTTAAGTACAGGCAGTTTGAAAGGGACAGGAGTTGTGTCATTAGGGTTTCCAGCAAAGATGTTGATCGATTTCTTAATGCGTGGAGTTAATATTTATGGAGGAGATCTTTACTTGTCTATTTATGGAGGAGATCTTTACTTGTCTACTGTTGATGGAGAAGTGCTTGTTGAAGGTCTCTCAAATGCACGTATGGCATTTGATAACAACTCAATCGAATTTAGTTTATTGGATCCAAATGGTAGTGACCAAATGAGTCATGTTGGAAACTTTTCATGCTTGGCTAGCAATGGAGGATACAAACCACATATTTTGAAGATTGGAGATTCAAAGTATCAACTTTATTGTTCCTCAATTGATCTTATAGGGCTCCCAGTGGTATGTGCTAATCATTTATTTCTAATTTGCTTTCTTTGATTCAATGATATAGAGTTTAATATATATATATACATAATGCCTAGTTTTGATTTTAGGTATATGCACTGTTAGTGCCTCTAAAAGGATTACCGGGCATTGTTCATAAGAACAGCAAGGTAGCCTCCATTCTTCTGGCACTTATGATGGTGCAGTGATAATCTCCGTTTTTACTTTTGTGTACTTGACGGTAAGAGCTGCAAAGAGGGATGTCTTCTTGTGTGATAATCTTATAAAACAAAGAGAGCCAACTGAGCAGGCAGAGAGAAAAAGTATGAACAGAAGTCTTGCTTTCGCCAGGGCCAGTCACTGACATTCGCACTTCTTTAGCTTGCATTACTGGGTTGATAGAGATGTGCTCCGGAGGGGTTTCTTCTCATTTGGAGATTGCAGCAAGTTTATGACGAATAGATAACTATGCTAAGGACTTAGTTGGTAAGCTAATTAATTCATATATGTAATATCTTAAATTAATAATAAATGTATTATAATTACTTGCTTATTTTGTTCAGGATTGTTGAACTCCATACTTGACATAAGCAAAATTGAAGTTGGCAAGATGCAGCTTGAAGAAGAAGAGTTCAACTTAGCCCAACTTCTTGAACAAATCCTTGACCTGTTTTATCCGACCGGAATGAAGAAAGGTGTTGATATTGTGTTGGATCCTTCTGATGGATCTGTTACGAAGTTCTCAAATGTTAGAGGCGACAAAGGAAGGCTACAACAGATCTTGGTGAATTTAATCAGCAATGCCATTAAGTTTACTTCAGAGGGACAAGTAAAACTAAGAGCGTGGGTGCAGAAGCCATCCTTAAGAAACACAATTATTGCATCCAACAAGATGAATAAATTCTCGAAGTATTTATCTTGTTCGATTTACAAGAATAAAAATGCTCGTAATGACTTAGAATCCGTGAATGCTATACGAATGAATCCAGATTCGATGGAAGTCTTCTTTGAGGTGGATGACACCGGTAAAGGAATACTAGGGGAGAAGAGAAAGTCAGTTTTTGAAAACTATGTTCAGGTCAAAGAAACAGCTCTCAGACAAGGAGGCATCAATCTAGGACTTGGTATCATACAATCATTGGTAAGAATTATCTTTTGATAAATTTGGTGTATTGAGATCTTGATTTTAAGTATCGGACAAGTAATGACATAATTCTTGTTAAAATTTTGCACCAGGTTCGTCTTATGGGTGGAGAAATAGCAATTGTGGATAAAGAGATTGGTGAACCAGGAACTTGTTTTTGGTTCAGTATTTTTCTTTTAACAAGCCAGATTCCTGCTTTGGATAAGGGAGATTTTGAGGCAAAAGAAGATTCTCCATTTTATTTTCGGCAGAACCCATTAGCCTATCGGTTAGAATTGAAAATACTCAAACACCAGGTTGCATTCCGAGTCCCAGGTTAAATATTCTTGGTTCTAGCCCAAAGTTTAAGGGATCACAAGTTGTTCTCTTGATTCAGAACGAAGAAAGACAAAGAATCACCCAGAGATATATGGAGGATTTGGGGATAAATGTATCAGTTGTTGATCAGTGGGATCATCTTCATAATGTTCTCAGGAGATAAAGTCCAAGCATACTTCTCCCTCATAATTTAATGGCAAAATGGATTTGAGTCAGAGTGACATGCTAGTCATATCTC